ATCTGAATATCTGAATATCTGAATATCTGAATATCTGAATATTTGAATATCTGAATATTTGAATATCTGAATATCTGAATATCCGATTATCTGAATATCTGAATGTCGGAATGTCGGAATATCTGAATGTCGGAATATCTGAATGTCGGAATGTCGGAATATCGGAATGTCGGAATATCTGAATATCTGAATATCTGAATATCTGAATATCTGAATATCTGAATATCTGAATATCTGAATATCTGAATATCTGAATATCTGAATATCTGAATATCTGAATATCTGAATATCTGAATATCTGAATATCTGAATATCTAAATATCTAAATATCTGAATATATGAATATCTGAAAATCTGAATATCTGAATCTCCGAATCTCGGAATCTCTGAATATCTGAATCTTGGAATATCTGAATATCGAAATATCGGAATATCTCTAGAAATTGATTAGAATATACATTACTTAGCAAAACAACGTTTGCCGGGTCAGCTAGTTATATTATATTATTACTGTATACAAATATGAGTAAGACCTTATTTATAACTTTTAAAATCTTTATCTGTTAATCTAAATCCAATTTATCCCTCTCAAAACAATGCTTGTCGAATATACCAACTCTTTTTTTAATTTTCAAGACATTTTCAAACACGTGTTCCAGAATGGCTATAAGTTTTTTCTTTTATCCGGTTTTTATGTCTTCAATCGAGTTAAAACGTCGTTGTCCACGCATTTTTAAGTCAAAAATATAGCCAAAAGTAACACTATTCTAAATTGGTTAAATTTTTGGCGAAATCACAAAGAACGAGTGAAGTGTTCGATGGTGCATTATTGTTGTTCAAAAACGACTTTTATAATGGTGTTGACTGACCCATTTGAAATTCCAACAATATCAGCCAGCTCTAGTAGTCAATAGACGATTTTGCAGCACCAATCCTTTGATTTTGTTGATTAGTAGAATGAGCTTAAATGTGGACGAAAAGTTTAACACTCTTTTTCAAATTACAAAGAAACGGCTGGCCGATCGTCTAACAAAACTGACAAACTATAGTGCTCATTGAGATACATCGAATGGCTTTTAAATTACTGAAATCGATTCAGGCGTTTTTGAGCAAATGTCGATGAAAGGTCTAATTTTGACAAATGCGAAAAAACGATACCAATTTTTGGAAACTTTGACGAATTTTTAAAGCTAAACGAGTTGTCGTAGGGCGGTAATATTTTAGTATGATCTAGAAGACTATGGTATCTACCGTCAAAAAAAAGCATAAAAATCGTCGGAATTTTTTTTAAACTTTATTAGAAGAAAACGGCCCGGCCGATCTTTATCAAAAACTAATCAGCACGATTCCCAACCAATATCTTTCGAACGGTTTTTGAATTTTCAGAATCGATTCAGAATTGCGGGCTAAAACGTGGACGAATATTTTTTCACTTTTCTGCTATTTATAAAGAAACTGCTGGGCCGATCGTTGCACAAAACTGACAAACAATAGTCCTCATCGAGAAAACGTCGATTTACGACAAAAAATCTGTTCACATTTTTCGAAATTGGGCCTCATTCGATTCAGAATGTCTTGAAACGTCGAGATAACATAAAATTAGCGAATCGGATTTTTTGAAGAAAACAAACTTCTCATTCGGGAAGTTAAAACACTTGCCAAAATCGAAGAACCTGGATAGTTTGAATTAGGAAGTATTCCTTATATTCGTAGACAGTATTATACCATATTTGTTTTTCTGATCCCGTTGCAATCCATTTCTTAGTCAGTTCTTAATTGTCCGATCATAGCTAATGGGCGCGGATGGTTTTATGCCTGTAATCCATACTCTGGTCTCTCGCAAAGTGCCTTCACCTTGCACCGTGGTCTACTGTCACCGCAAACACAATCGAAGTGTAGGCGATCCCGTTTGCAGAAATAGAAGCGGACGTTTACTCAATGAAATCTTACGTTCATTGAGACAGAGAGAACAGAATACTAGAAAAAAAATTTCTAGGCCGTTCCATACGCCCGCAGGAGACAATAAGAAGTACAATAAACTTTTTTGAATAAATAATATTTTATATCTTATTATATTGATAATGTTAATGAATCATAATTTTATTAAGCGTGAAGTTAATTAATCTATGTAAAATGTTTATGTGCGTCATTGTTAATGGACAGGATTAATACGTAGTGAAACAAATGAAATACGTTCATTCTAATTGTAACGTATAGAAAGTGTAGGCAATCATAAAGATTTCCGTAGAAATATAGGACATCAATATTTTTAATTATTAACTTTTCGTAGGGCAAGTTATAGTAATCGCAAGAAAATCGAAAATTAAAATTTTTATATATCTTTACGTTTTAGAGGTTTCTGAACATTTTGCCATACCTTAGAAAAAATGGATTTACGTATGTGTGTGTGTTTGGATACAATTTTTTGTCGACGATTTCAGGAACACGGTTCAACCGATTTGAATAATTTGAAAAACATTCGATTTGCATCAATGGGGAGATGTGATGATTAGTTTTCAGTAGAAGCAGGTCTAGCCGATTTAGAGATACAGAGCAAAAGGCGCCAAGAATCGTAATTAGGTTTTTGAGAGAACGGAGCATCCGATTTGAATAATTCAAAAAAAATTATTTGCATTGACAAAATGAAGTACCGTTCAAATTTTTGCGAAGCCAGGTTTAGCGGTTACAAAGATCGATCGTCAAAAATGATTATTAGACATATGCACATCAAATGATCAGATATTTTATAAAGATTTTAATAATACGTATGAATTTTGTTTACATTTCTATGAGTTATACCAATGTTTATCCGTTTGTCTGCCATGCGGCGCTTATGCGCTTCCGTATTTCTTCTATAAAAGAGCCACGCAGCAGATTGCTTTGAAAAAAGCTCAAAATTTTCAGAAAAACTCAGTGTATGAAAAAAATTTTTTCAAAAAAAGTCATTTTATTTCAAAAATTTCAAAATTCTCAAAAAACGTGCTTTTTTTAAGTTCATAAAAATTTAACCCTCTGTCGGGCGCAGTCCAAATATGTACACAATCGGGCGCAGTGTATCTGACAGATACAGGTTATAAGTATATTGGCAGGAAACTTATAGTTTTATATATTTTTATTTAATTTGCGTTTTTACAATGCTGAATATGTATATTATGTGTAAACAAAAACAAAATATATATGAGATCAATATTATTTTTATAATATAGCAAAATATAAAAATCCGTACATGCGCTCAAAATGCTAGACGCACAAACCTTACTTTTTCTGTAATGAATAATTTAATTAATTATATAAAAACAATTGTCAGATTCTGTTGGAATGTTTATACAAAGACTATTTAAATAATTAGGACAGTAAAAACTTAGTGTTTTTCGTCATTTTGGACGTCAAAGAGAATTTGGCTTAGTGCGTTTTTTTTTTTAACAAAGTTGCTACTAGCAAAATATGCGAAGTCCAAAGACAATCTAATATGGACGAATAAATAGTCGACATAAAATAACGAGGCTACTGAGATATGGAGATCTCGATGACATCAAATTATGAAGAAACATGCTAAAATGTTGGCCCTGTATCTGTCAGATCGGCTGCGCCCGACGGAGGGTTAAAGGTTTTTTAAAAAATTTCGTTTTCATGCCGTGGACCACTAGTTACATAAATTTTAGAGCCCATTATGGTATAATAGTTATGCACTTAATAGAGAATTTTACTGGTTCCGTTCTGTAGTATTGTATCTTCTACTATGGCTTATAATACTTTATTTATAGTGAAAAATTAGGGAAGAAATAATCAGTTTTAGTATTTAACGAACCAGGTTATTTGGAAATATTAGGCATTGTCGATATACAGGATTCTAGTACAAACAGTGCTCTCTGAGAACTTTGTAAAATGCTCGATATCAAGCGGTATGGTATCAAATTCCCAATTAAAGTTATAGATATCAAATGCATTACAGAAATAAAATTAGTCTTTCGAGAGAATTGTCATAGATAAACAAGTATAAACGTGGGTATTACTGGGTTTTATATATGCCTACACTAATAAATATGCATATGATGTTCGAATCAAGTTTTCTTGATGATAATTTACTAATCTGAGGTTTAACACAAACAAATTATCTTGGATTTTTTTATCAAAAAGATATTTTTTTACATAAAACTATAATTCTCTATTTTTTAACAAAACATTATTTTACTCAGTCAAATTGAAAATAAAATCTAGTGCCAAGTTTTTTTGCAAACTAGCACCAAGCCACTTTAGAAACTTTTTTAACAAAACTTTCCATAAAAGTTGAAAACTATCTTCTAGCTTATTAATAAATGAGTATCTCCGTCATTTAGTAATTAGAGTTATAGGATTTAAATCAGTGATTCCACGTTCAATATTTCCCTCGGACAGCCTGATGTCAAGCAGTACTTATATCAGTTTTTATTTCGAAATATAGTTAGCAATAAGTTTCCAAGTAATAACAGGGCTTATCCAGCATTGAAAAAATTCATCAGTATTATAGAAACTGTAATAACCAAATTGTCTCGAAGAATTAGAACAACCGTTTCGGTTGCCATTTATGAAGCAACGTAGTTTAAGTAGACAAGTTTTGATGAAAAATATATTTTAAATTGATTTTGATTTAAGTTAAACATTTAGAAAAAAATTAAAGGAATAATCAATTTTATCTTTAGCTCTGTATGATTATAATTTCACTACTTAGAACTTTGCCGCATTTATAGAAAAATAATGTTCAATATTTAGAAGACATAATAACATACACATAATTATTGAATAAGATTAACGTGCACGCAAGCACAGTTTATTAAAAACCACAAATACATAATTTCATTAAATAACTACTACACGATATTCAAAACGATATCGATTCATCAGTGCATTATGTAATCAGAGCACGATCCAACCGCATAACATTATATAATCCTAATCGGATTTATGTCGGTTATTAAAGTGGTAATCGGCGTGATTTCTTCACTTCAACATTGTTTCGCACTTCAATACATTTCGCCCACATTATGTTCGGGTGCGAACTGATACATGGACATCGGAAACATGGCTGGCAGATTGCGTATATACATTTGCTGGTCCAGAGGTCCAGGACTATCTTGTCCGTTTCCGTAGTGGCCACTTTCATCCAAATGACCATGACGAACCTAGAAGCACAAAATATAACTGTTCAATTTGTCGATTCATATGGTCTTATAAAATTTTAACATATTAGCAGATGTGAATGCTACAGCATTCAATTTCATTGTGATGCAAAATGACATGAATGCCATTGCATTCAAATTCTAAAGTTAATTATTTTGAATTTAGTTATTATACCTGTCAAGGCAATGACTAACTGATTCTTTAAGTATTTTAAATCAAATTAGTTTGAGTAAGCGCATTGAGTAAAGTAGAAGCATATGGCACGTAGATGCCATAGCGTTCATTAGAAAATTTAAAAACCATTCGATAAATATCGGCTAGGAGTCTTAATCATTGGTCTATAGCCATTGCTTCGGAATTAGTAGTTGGAAAAAAATGACCATTTTGATAAAATTTTGTATGATAACAAAGTGTATGGTCCTAAAAACACTATAAAATATCTATTCCTACAAAAATAACTTACTTATAATAATTCATCGCTTTAAAGTAATAGTTTTGCAATAAAAAAATGCTAAATCTTAATTATTATTGATTGTGTCGATTATATTCGCATATCGGATAGCTTTTTGAAACTTTTTTAGTGAATTAAAATTTTCTCAATATGAAATTGTTTATCACTGCTTTATTGAAAATATAGTTATTATCATGAAACTTTCATGAAGTCTGATAATATGTAGTGTAACTATGTACTAGTGACGACATTAGAGTATTATATTTTCAAGATCAGGCGAGAATTGCATAGTATAGAAAAAACGAACAATATGGTAAAATAACACAGTGGCAATATTTGCAAATTGACTTGTTACATGACGAAAGTCATAATATCAGTGCTATCAGATGTTGAGTGTCATTATTACAGTCTTGATGCAGTATTCAGTTCAAACGTTTATCGCGCCTTCAAATTTTTATTTTAATGGTGTTTTTTTCGTATTTTTTAGGGTCTTGTTTATTGTTATTTATAATTATTTCTATTGAGATCAATTAACTTATGCCTATACTAAGAATTTTAAACAAGTTTATTGCAATTATCATATGTTTGATGGCAGTGGCGGATCCAGCTTCGGCGTCAGGGGGGGGTCATAATTGAAAAGTTTTTATAGTCCTCAATGAGTATGTAACAAATTTAATATATATTTATCATATATATATATATATATATATATATATATATATACATATAAGATAGAGCGGGGCTTCGCGGGTAAAAAGGTCCACCACCGATATCTCAAGGAGGTTAAGGATTAAAGTAAAGTTAAGGATTTCTTAACAACAATATTTGAAAGTGGAAGGAAAAATGTACAACCAGCCATCACCCTGATTCTTACGACGTTAAAAGAAGCATTTTTACAAGAGATAAATTAGATAAATATTTATTTCAACTTTGCTGGTGAATATTTTGGACAAAATATCAAATTAAGGTTATATATAGAGTTATCTCTGTAAAAATGTATCTATAAAATTCATATTTTTCATTGGTTGAATAATGTAGCTAAACCCCATTAAAATTAAGAATAGTAAATTGGATTGTTTGTCCTCTCGCCGTCCGATTTTACCCCGTCTATGGGGTAAAAAAGACCAAGTGACAAATTTTTAAAAAACAGAAAAAAACACATTTTTACAGTGATGAATTAGCTGGAAGTTAGACTAAAACATAGTCAGATGCTTTTTATTTGATGTGTCCTATTGGTTGTTATGTTTTTTGTTTAGTTTTCACAATATAATTGCTCAAAGTTAAATTGGACCCGCCTAACCTTATATATGTGTATTTTTTTAAAAATAATCTGCGTCTTTGACGTGAGTCAAATTTTGACCTTTCCTCGACGTTTTCTTGTCTGAACCGATGTTAAAATTCAAAAACTATAAAATGAAACTGGATAAGCGCTTGCGTTGATTAGTTTTTTGAGAAAATTGGTCGATTCGTTTCTTTACTATTGGCAAAAAAGTGCAAAAATTATCGCCCATGTTTTTGTCAAAAATTCTTAGCCGTTTTTGCTTAAACTATTCGATTGATATCATTTGGAAATAAATGGTTTCTGGCGAAGATCGGTCAAGTCGTTTCTTTTGCATAATAGGTTGTCATTTTTTTGCGATTTAAGTGAAACTTTACATGGCGATAGAGTTTCTGCTCTAAATGAACGTACTAAACTAGGCCTGCGACAAGTGGTTTACTTATGATAATTAAAGTTTTGGATTATTTTCCATCAATGTGTATTATGCAAACCATTTTTCAAAAATCACTACTATATTTGAAAAAAATTGCAATAGTTTCTCACTTCAAAATGGTTTACAGCGATGGACAAAACGTGGACAAAAAAATGCGGACATACAAAATACACACACACACACACATATCAATTTTTTCTGAGGTATGCCAAAGTATTCAGGTATCTTCAAAACGTCGAGAAATGCAAAAAAAATTCATTCAAATCTAAAATGATTTTTTGCATTTCTCGACGTTTTGAAGATATCTGAACTCTTTGGCATACCTCAGAAAAAATAGATGTGCGTGTGTGTGTGTTTTGTATGTCCGCATTTTTTGTCCACGTTTTAGGGCGCACATATCAACCGATTTGAATGGTTCAAAAAACAATCGATTCCTATTAATAGGGAGATGAGCTGATTAGTTTTTGGCAAAGGCATGTCCAGCAGTTACGGAGATAAAGAGCAAAGAGTGCAGAAAATAGAAATCGAGTTTTTGAGAGAACGGAGCATCCGATTTGAATGACATAAAAAAACATCCAATTTGTAATGATTGGGAGAAGATATGATTAGTTTTTGGCAAAGGCAGGTCCATCCATTTCGAAGATACAGAGACAAATGTGCAAAAAATGGTAGTTTTTGAGAGAACTGAGCGACCGATTTGAATGATTCAAAGAACTTTCTGTTTGTTTTGACAAAATAATTGCTTTTGAAAAAAAATTGTTTCAATTTTTTTTTTCAAAATTTATTTTTTTTGTATATCGAAAATAATTCAGATTTTAATTTTAATTCTGACTTAAGTTTAAAACTTATATACTTTAAATAAATAGTTTTAACTTTGCAATTCAGTTTATATAATTTTTATAAATATTGGACATTGTTACAGTATTTTTAACAATCTATTTGAAAACATTTAATATTCCTCGAACATTTCGTTACGGTACGGGAAGTTTCAGCAATTTGCCTTAAGGCACTATGCCATACACCACTATTTTATATGTTGATTAAGTCGTCTATTAATAGGATTACTGAAAGTTCATGCATAAGAGCCACTCACAATCAGTTTATTTTTTTGATTTTTGAATGAATTTTTTTTCCTAAACTGTAATAAAACATATATTCGCAATACGATTATAAAATCCTTAAATTTTAGGGTTTTTGATTCCGCCATTCGTCTACAATCAGTTAAATATTTGAGTTGTAAAATATGTTTGGTAACAAAATACATAAATAAGATCATTATGAAGTAATTTTGTTGTTGAATTAGTGTTTTATCTAAGTCCTAAAACAGGCTCAGGGGGGGGTCATGACCCCCGTGACCCCCCCCTGGATCCGCCACTGTTTGATGGAATTTTCATTGTTTACTCATTTTATCGGTCAAAATGACACACTTATACAATGGACAGAATGACACATATTGTTTTGTAAGAACTACAGGGTTGCTCGTCGAAGCCAAGAAAAAAACAATAGAAACCCGTGAAATGTTATTGATTGCAACTTTTATAGAAGTTAGAGTATAATTTAACAACTTTTGAAAACAAACCAAGTGATCCACCGGTAAAAAAAGATATTGCATTTGTTTTAAAGACCATTTTTCCAGTTCTGAGCCCGATAAAGTAACGACTTGTTCTTTTTAGATTTACAAGTTATTTATTTGTAAACAGTCTTCCTAACAATTAGTATCTTTGTGTGTTCTTGCACCTCAATGTAATTTTTCTTGTACAATATTGGGACAAAGAAGAGTTCAAGCCATTCTTCATGGGATTGCAATGACAGCCGTTCGTTATATTTTAGCATTGCGTATACGAATATGAAATAGTTTACTTTAACTTAACCCGACCTCTAAAAACAACATGCAATTACCTATGGATATTAACATAACTAACTACCCGAATGAAACTGAATGTACTTATCACCTTATTTATTGTTACCTAATTAGGATTATAGGTGTGAGGGCATGATTGTAACTATGTACAGTCATGTCCTATGCCTAAACTCTAATGATTTAGTAAGAAATCTATGGACTGACATACTGACGTATTAACAGATTAAAGAGGGAATAGCTAAAAAATACAAAATAATCAGGCCTGACATAATGGTTTTTGTAAGTTGCATTTTTCCTTAATAAATAGTAAAAGTCTATGTTGTTGGTAGTCAATGAATCTAAGGTGACTTAAAACAATTGAGACTGATTATAATATCATTAAATAAATAAATATGATTGAAAAACTTAATTTGTGCATAACTATTCTAACACAAATACAGAATGATTCTTTTATCATATATTTATAGCCGATCAAAATAATATAATTTTTGAAGACAACATGCTGGTCGTAAATGCATTTAAAGAGTTTATCTTCAATGAGATATCTGTTTTTTTATTTTTTTGCATTTTATTTGAGATCGTATGGTAATTTTTTTTCAATTTTCGAATAGGAGACTCCTCACTCAATTCTTTTAAATATTTGTTTGAGCGTCTTAGTAATTGTTCGTGGTATTTTTTTTCTTTCTTTTATTAATATAGAATATAATACAAAGTTTTTGCTATTCCTTACCTTCAAATGTTTATCTCGATCCCCTCTCTGTCTGAAGCACCTATCGCAAACAGGGCACCTGTACGGTTTTTCGCCACTATGTATTCGGACGTGGTTCTTCAGAGCATCAGCCCTATAGAACCTCTTATCGCACTGCTGACAAGCGTAGCGCCGGTCGCCGCGGTGAATTAGGCGGTGCTGATAATAGACGGATCCCGTCAAGAAGCGTTTGTCGCACTCGGTACAATGGAATGGACGTTCGCCGGTGTGCGACTTGCGAATATGATCGTTCAAATCAGGACGAATCGTGAATTTGCGACCACAACCTGGTTCGGTACAAGCGAAGGGTTTGATACCTAGAGGAAAAAATCATTATTAAACCCTCAAGATAACATTTCTCAAAATATCATTTTTTTGATAAATTAAGTAAATAATTCTTCTTGAAAATATGTGATAGCTAATGCCTTAATGTATACATGCAGTACAAATGCCAATTTAAAACATCATTTAGCAAAATACAAACAATATTTTATGATGAGGGGCCAATTTTCCGATAATATCGAAATGTTATGGCAACCCAATTTTGTAGGTTTATCTTCGTATGAATTAGTAGTACGAACTATCAACAATTCAACAGTCGCATTTGCTGTGCGATCAAAAGTTTTACTCATAAAGCCTAACTATGGCATTGCAGCGCTCTATTTGTACTTGGTATAATTCAGTTTTTTTTTAATTCAATTTCTCACGTCTAATTCTAATTAATTTTAACTCAACATTTCAAATTCTGAATCAAGACATTATTTACTTCAAATACTTCTTCTATTAAATTGTTTTACATTATCCTCATTTTAAACTCATTCTTCTTTCTTCTAAATCCATCTTCTTCATTTTTTCTACTAATGCTATTGCGTCTTCTTCTAATTATGACAATTTTTTTAACTTGATACTGTTATTTTAGCTTAGCTAGCTTATTCAATTACAATTGTATATTATCATATACAATTTCGTCATTATGAATAATAATCCACGTGAATTTAAGACCACGACCAGTTTCGGTACAAGCAAAATTTTGATTAATGAAGTAACTGATTCTTTTTTAAAATACCATAATGCATGCATGCTGTACAAATGCAAATTTGGAACATCTCTTAGCAAAATACATATATAATATTTTATGATGAAAAATGAAGGGCCAATTCTCCGATAATATACAAATCTTATGGCAACCTTATATTGTAGGTCTGGTCTATCGGTAGTGAGCTATTGAGATGTTTTTTTCAACATGCCCTTGTAGTATACAATGTCCCTTTTCGTCCGACTATTGTAAATTCATCAAATTTATTGAATGTACTAAATAAAGAGATAATACTTTTTTTTAAGTCTGGTCGGCTGGCCTTTTTGGTATAAACGACATGCTAGATGTTATATTATATTTAAATTGATCTTTTTAGCAGTACCCCAAAGTTGAATTCCGTAGGTCCTAATATTGCAATCTATGATATACATTTACCCTAGCAATGAAATATTACTCCAGATATGTCTACAGTTATTTTGACCATTGATTGAAACACAAAATTATAAAAGTATCTCGATAATGAATATAATAGTTGTGTATGAATTATAAGCGACCCCTAATAATCCGATTTGCATATTGAAAAATGAAAGATTTGCTTTATAAGTATGATCTTTAAATAAATAAAAAATAAAAATTTATTATGATTAACTAGCATGCATAACCTGTTTCTTAACATGAATACCTCTTCCTACGAGCGGGTATTTGATAGCATTTTTTAAGCAGTTTGTCACAACTTCTATTTTTGGTTTGGTTTTATGCCATTTACAATTTCTCTATAACATTTAACCAATGAAAATTCTTTCATTTTTTTTTCTTTTTCTTTTATATCCTATACTAATGAAAAATTTCCAGGCTATATTATTTTTACATTTATATAATACGCAACCGGGATTCGATCTTAGTACCATATATGCATAATTAACTTAATAGGGTAAGTTATAGTAATCGCAAAAAAATCGAAAATAAAAAAATGAATATATTTTTACGTTTCAGGACCTTCTGAACAATTTGGAATCCACTAGAAAAAAATTGTGTGTGTATGTATGTGCGGATACAATTTTTTGTCGACGAACACGGATCAACCAATCTAAATTATTCAAAAAATATTCGGTTCCTATTGATAAGGAGACGTGCTGATTAGTTTTTGGCAAAGGCAGGTTACCTAACTACGAAAAAATGGTATTTCTGTTTTTGAGAGAACGGACTGTTTGATGTCAATGATCGCTTTCGAAAAAAGTTCAAAATTCAAAACAAAGTTCATTTTTTTTAATTTCTAAATTCTCAAAAATTTGATTTTTTCAATTTTTTTTTAAATATTTAGTTTTCGGTACGGGAAGATCCAGCAATTTACCTTAAGGCACGATGCTATGCACCACTAGTTGCATGCTAAAATTTGATTTTTACCAATACTAGTTATAAAGGAATGATTAGATAATTTTCAAGAGCAAATTTGTTCTAAATATTATTTACCTTGATGAAATCTAAGATGCTGCCACAAGTGGCTACTCTGTGTATACGCCTTTCCGCAGATTTCACATAAAAAACTGCGTTGACCATGGTTTCGTTTAGCGATCTCAGCAGCGCGCAGAGAACGTGGATGAGATTTGGAGCGATGATCCATCAGTAGCTGGTAAGTTTCGCTGGTTGTGTTGCACTGGTCGCACTGATGCACTTCCACATTGTCTGGACCATATAATTTGATACTTAGATGGCGATTCTTGTATCTAAAGGAAATGATTTACAAATAATGGATTAATATATATCTATAATCATTCAAGGGAGAACTGTTTAAAACTTTTCAAAAAGCATTAGCAATAGTAAAAACTAATCCATTTTATTGCACTATTTTGGAATATAAATTAATCCCTTTTATTGTAATGCATCCTGTCTATAAACAGTCTCTTAATCATAAATCCTTTATTCTATGGAACTACATACATGTAGAGTCTTTGAACTCCTCATTCGCGGAAACTTAGACATGCATTAAAAAGAATTATGTTATAAATTCAAATAACATTTATTTATTTATTACCTGTGGTTGTACAACTGCTCCCATCCAATGAATTTTCGTTCGCAAATATTGCACATGAGATATTTGTGCAAAGAAAAAGTGGACATGGTCTTAGTTCGGGAACATTCCGCTTGCCAATGAGCTATAGCTTGACCATGAGAACTGAAGACCCTTTTGCAATTCAAGCACTCGTAGTTCTTTTCGGCTCTGAAAAAATCTCATTACAATAAAAGATATATTATGATATGAGAAAATAAAATATACATAAAATGTCCTAGGAAGCTTTTATGATTTCTACTGAAAAATAAAGTTATAAAATGAGCTTTAACCCTTTCGCTACATGAGGGTATTCCGCAGGAGTGTCGCTGCTGTACGGAACAGAGTATCCATTAGTAGTGCTAATGAATGGACCAGGCACAACGAGATATTTTAAGATATTTCTTTCATTATAAATAAAAATGTTTTGAAAACTTGAAAATCACGCTTCTAATAAACTAAAAATTACAATAAAAATTAGCATTACTAATAGTTTAACCCATAGTGATAAATCTTGCACCAAAGACCGACACAGTACATGTCGTCTATGGATGAGATCCGCGCACCATTCTTATACGCTGCTAGTAGAGTGGACGTCGTCCATGGATGACATTGGTAGCGAATGAATTAATTTTAGACGTAAAATTTCAAAGCAGCACATGTTTTTAATCTTTCTCCACAACAACTTGAATAAAATGAGTAATAAATTTGATTTAACTAGCAGATTTGGATGATTGTATAGATTTGGATGGATTTAGTCATTAAAAATTTACATCAGTATAAATATATTTTTATAAGCATTTTTTTAAGCATTCATTATTATTAGCTCATAGGATTGTAATTGCTATTGAATATAAAAAGAAAAAAACATTATTATCAACTCACTTAAAAAATTTAAATAATTTTTCGTAGCAAAAGAAAATTTTATAATGGTAAATTTTATCATATGCAATAATCACACAAAATTTCAATCGCAAAAACTTTGTATTTCCTTTAAATTGAACAAATTGGTATGACCAGATACAGCTAAAAATTTATGCATATCTCAATTCATAGATTTCGTAATTTTTTTCTTATTACTATCATTATTTTCTACATGCCTGTGACACTTGGTGTGAGCAAATAGGGTGCCTGTATCGGTAAAAACTGATTCACAGAATTCGCATTGGAGCAGAGAAATAGCAGAAAGCTCCTCAGTGTATTTGTCCACAAATTCAGAATCAGTTAAGAAATCAATTTCTCGTTCTGTTTCCTTCTCGTTACGAGCGTCATATGCAATTAGAGAATTATCGCCTACAGCGTCATCGATGACCATGTCTTCCTGAGATTTTTCCCGTGTCACAGCCATTTTTAAATCTAATGATAATATTATGAATCAGTATAACAAAAAATAAATTTTCATCCTGTGTTGAAAAGGTAGAACCCTCACTTACCCATACTTGTTTATACCAGATTCGTATATGTATATGTTTATATAAAAAAAAATTATTAAAAAATACACCGACAAAGATTAACTTTTTTTTATTAAAAACCTGTGTATATAACGAGGAAATTAAGTATTTTTTTATATTAACACATTTTGCATATGGCTTTAAACCAATCTGGACCTACGGAATTGAGCTCTGGGGATGTGCTTACAAATCAAATATAGCTATAATGCAGAGAAACAAAAATTTCACGTACAATTCTTAATTCTCCATGTACGTAACAAATGAAACCATTCACAGCGACCTCAATATGAAAACGATGCAATTAACGTTCAAAGAATTCAAGGAAAAATACAAACGCAAACTGGAATCACATTCGAACCCATCAATAGTTGACGTTACTAAACCTTATGGCATAAGGAGATTGAAACGACAATGGCCTTTAGACTTAGTCTTAGATTAGGTCTAATATAATATTATCATATAAATTGTTAAACTGACAAGACCTCATTGGAGCTCTTCTTAGGCATCGCTCTTAAATATTGTCATTTTAGCTCGTAGGAATCTGTATGAATTTCTGTTTGCTAAATAAAACGAGTTAAAAAAAAATTGCATATGGCTTGTTTGTAAGTCAACCCATTAGTTGTCCTATATTAGTTGTGACATATATTTTGTTTTTTTTTTAATGATGAACAATGATATTATAAATACCTCTTTCGCAATGATGTTCTATGAGAATGTGATTCGAAATTTGGTGCTGATCCGGAAAAACGCGTCCGCACATTCCGCAGCGCCATACGCGCTCTTCTTGACGCACAGCGGTTGCCGCAGCGATCGCAGCAGCAGCCGTTGTAGTTGTGGAGTTGCGACGAGATTGCCGCAATTCGGTGGTGGAGCGACTAAGATTGTAGAGCATCGAGTTTTCGGGATCGCCGACGCCTTTCAAACTCTGTAAATAAAATATTTAGATACATATCCAAATCTAAAAGACCGACTCTGCCGTAAAATAGACCAATGTGATGGCAAGCCATGGGAAAGGCTATGTTATGTAGAAGTTTTCATACAGGGTCCATTATATGTGGACAATGGAAATGTTAAATATCTTGAACAATTTTCAATGAATTTTGAAAAACTTTTTTTTTTTATTATCAAGTTTGAAGCCTCTTAATTTTTCCAGCTAGGTTTGAAAAACAACGTCGACTAAATGACCTCTCTCCTTCATTGCGAAAACAAAACTTCGCTTTTTTCGTATTTTCTATGACATTTGTCTGCATCTCGGGCGATTTCAGCTCGAATGTTGTTTTTCAACTCGTCCAAAGTCTTCAGTTGGTAGGCATACACTTTGCTTTTCCCTGTACAGAATCGTACTAAATACTATCAAAAGTCTAATAGAAAATAATTTTGATAAAAATGAATTTTGCATCGGAGCTGAGACAAGTTTTACCTGACTCTAAAAAAATTCAATCTGAAAATAATTTATTTGAATTGACAAGAAAAAGTGTAGCAGTGTTAGATATTATTATTAGTATTAAATAGGAATTTTTCGTTTTACATTCCACTGAAGATGACATAAGATTATATGCCAAAACGTATAGGACAATCATTGTTTGTTTGCTAGACGCCGACGCGGCGCTTACGCGCTTCGATATTTCGTCTCTGTTGCAGTTAAACCAGTACGATTGCTTTGAAAAAAAGTTCACAATTTTCAACATATTTCAAAATGAAGAAAACATTTTTTTTCAAAATGTCTTTTTTTCAAAAAAAGTAAATTTTTGTCAAAAATTTAAATTTTTCAAAAATCTAATTTTTTCAAAGTAATTTTTTTTTCAAAAATGTTAAAAAAATAATTTTCGGTACGGGAATTCCAGCAATTTGCTTAAAACCAAACTATTAAAATATTATATATATAGAAAAAAATGTGGAAAAATTTACCTCGTTGTACAAATTGCGATACTTTTCAGATTTATCTTTCTTATTCTTCTTCGATTTTCGCCCTTGACTTCTAACAACATAAAAAACAAAATATACTTCAAAATATAATAATAATAATTTATATATAATAACTCTTAATAAATAAAAACACGAGAATTGGATAATTATATAATAATAATAATAATAGAAAATGTACAATTTATGATTTTTCATGTGAAACTCTTGGATACAATTACTCTGCATGCTAAATTACGTTTATGTACCTTCAATGATTTATGTTTTTATTCTGCTTGTTTATTTGCACTTATAACAGCAAATTTAATAATATTATAACTCTAAATAAATTAGTTAATAACTGAATAAATTGTTCAACATTTCTACTGTGTAACTTTTTAGAATAGAAGTTAAGTATCCATGTGTCCACAAACTTACTGAATGCCTTTTTTTTGTATAAAGACAGACTATAATTAATAAAATAAATTAAAAAAATAACATTCCGTACACAGGCAAAGAAAGGCAGAAAGGTTTTACAAAATCCTTACTTCAGATTAATGAATTTGAATTAAAATTGGGAACAATTTAATTAAAATATTAGGGAATTTACATTTATAGATCTGCAATAAAAATTGTGTATCATAATTATTATTAGTAATGAAAAAATTTGCTCACCTGCGCGATGATTTAGACTCACGATGTTTTCCACTTATTTTTGTAGTAGATGGTGGTGGCATTAATTGATTATCTTGCAATATTTCAATTGTCACAGTGCGATCGTTCATAGCATTTTCATTTTCTGTTAAAGTAAATTGACAGAAATTAATACTTTAAAAATTTTATGACTATAAATTTGCATGATTTTTTTATGATTACACAGTACTTTTCAACTGGGTTGCCAAAAATTAGCTATAGCAGAATCGAAAATAACTAGTTTTTTTCTTTCCGGAGGCGTTTGTTTTTGCGGAAAAATCCTATTTGCTTATTTTATGTTTTTCCGCGTTTCAAGTCATTCTGAATTGAATGAGACCGAGTTTGAAAAAAATATGCCTGTATCCGTGGGTATTGGTGTGGGAGCCGAAATTTGATCATTAGTCGACGATTGCTTAAAAACAGACCAATTTCAAAAATTTTACAACCATTCGATGTATCTCGATAAGGACTATCTTTTGTGCAAGGAACAAACAAGCCATTTGTTTGTAATTGCTAAAAAATTGTGAAAATTTTATCTATGTTTTAGATCACAATTTTGAACCGATTTTAAAAATTTGAAAACTTTTCGAAATATATTGGTTGGGAATACCGTTGATTTGTTTTCGGCAAAGATCAGCCGAGCCGTTTCATCGTAAATAAATCTTGATTTTATTTTTGACAATTTTGATAAAATTTTGCATAACAATAGATTTCATAGTTTAAAATAACATACTAAAATATTATAGGCCTACGATAAAAAAAATTCATTAAAGTTTAGAATTCTTTCGCGCACTCCGTTCTGTACTGTTTCGTTGGTAGCTACTGATTACAGTTTACGTCCACACATAAATAAAATGCATATTTGGAATGAGAAAGATTTGAAACGAAAGGTACTGATTACAGTTTACGTTCACATTTAAATAAAATATATTTTTAGAACACGAAAAGTATAAAATGATATGTGCTTAAACCAATTAGTTTAATTTATACATTTACAGATAAGATAGTAAAGTATGTATAAGATAGTAAGTATGTTGGTAAAAATCGTAGTAAAAAAACTTTTATGAAAAGGAATTTTTTGAATAAGTATACTAGTTCCACATTTTAGAATGTTTGTTCTACTTGTCGTAAGGTAAAATGCCACTTACAACTATTTATTTTATACTGACAGAGTTTCAAATTACTCTAAACCTCTTGAAACTTAATATTTTGGGAACAATTCTTCGATAAAATAGAAATGTTATGGTAACGCTATGTTACGGGTCTATCTTCGTATGAATTGGGAATAATCGTCAATACACAAAATTTTGTCATTCTGGTTAATTATCAAAATAACTAGTATCAACTTCCCTTAGGGTAAGTTATTGTAATCGTCCAAAAATCGAAATTGAAAATTTTTGCATATCTTCACATTTTGAAAGTTTCTAAACATTTCGGCATACCTTAGAAAAAATGGATATATGTGTGTGTGTATGTGTGGATACAATTTTTAGTCTACGTATTCGGGCGCACGGATAAACCCAATTGAATGGTTCAAAAAACACTCGATTTATATTGATAGGAAGATGTGCTGATAGGTTTTTGCCAAAGACAGGTCTAGCAGTTTCGGAGATACAGAGGAAACAGTGCTCGATAAAATAAAAATGTATAAAATAAAAATAATAAAAGTTACACTATTTATAATGATCTATTTGAAATCATTTAATATTCATCGATTATTTCGTTACGGTGCGAGAAGTTCCAACAATTTGCCTTAAGGCACAATGCCATACACCACTAGTTTATGTGTCAAAATAACTAGTATTATTGTAATCGTCCAAAAATCGAAATTGAAAATTTTTGCATATCTTTACGTTTAAAGCCTTCTGAACATTTTGGCATACCTTGGAAGAAATGGATGTGTGTATGTATGTGTGAATACAATTTTTCGGTAAACCGATTTGAATGGTTCAAAAAACACTCGATTTCTACTGATAGGAAGGTATGCTGATTGATTTTTGGCAAAGACAGGTCCAGCCGTTTCGGAGATACGGACCAAAAATTGCTCAATTTTTATTTTGTATAAAATAAGAATAATAAATTAAATAATTAAAAACAATTAATATTCCTCGATTATTTCGTTACGATACGGGAAGTTCCAGCAATTTGCCTTAAGGCACAATACCATACACCACTAGTTTATGTGTTATTTTTAAAATAGTTTATGACTATGTTTAAATAAATAAATAATAATATTTTAATAACTATATAAATTATTGACATTTGAAAATAATGTCATTTAAAATTTTTATTTTTTGTTTTGTGCTGCAATGTAATTTTTTATGTCGTAGTTTCGAGCTTTTAACATACAGTACAGATTATTGTTTAACAACAACGACCTTGAAGATATGACATTTCACAAAAAACAAGGCAAGGTATGAGCAAATTGTATCCAAAAATAATTTTTGTCCAAAATTACCTAAGGCGTTACCTGTATCCTTCCTAGCCATATACTCCGGATTACTATTCAGAATCCCCATGACGAACACCTGGTCCATTCTAGCGATTTCGTGAGGAGAACGTATATTTTTCTTACCATTTCTCATCTTCACAGACATGGCCTCACGTTTCAAATCGCCGATATATTCATCCAAATTCAAGTTATGGGGCTTGAAACATGGCGAAAGATCGAATACCTGGCTCCAATCTGGGTAAGAAGGCACCAGGGGAGTAAAATTCTCAGGGACATAGCCGATTGAAACATCTCCATCTGCTCCAATAATTATTTGTTTGCATTCGAGTTCCCCGCTCTCTAGAAATCTAGTTAGTTTGAAACCCTGCGCCATCGTCGATTATAAACTTTTTAATAAGTAAACTGAATTATATTTTGTTGTTTTTACGATTGATCGATTACAATATTTTGTTCATGCACATTGAACTGTATGATTGTATTTTGTTTTTTGCGTACGTGATGTTTGTCCATAGTCCTGTATAGATATAATACATAGGTTCTATGGATGTATCACAATAAATCGTTATATTTTGAATTCAAATACAATCATTAATTTACTAAGTACTTAATTTATTTATTTTTTACTTAAGAATTTAATTTTTCAAACTTTGTAGCCATTGCAATAACGATGTATATTAATAATATTGTTTATATAATTTAAGCAATTCTATTTTAATTTAGCATAAATCACTATATTATAAAATTTACAAAATTTGTATATCTAATTGCATTTTAAAGTATATCTTTATACATATTTATTTCTATTGTTCAATATATCTATTAAGTTTCTAATATGAATAGTGTAAAATTAAGTATTATTTTTATTTAAATATGCATATTGAGTATACAATTATCATCAATAAAATTTTGGTTATTATGGTTATTATATATATATATATATATATATATATTAATAATATAAATTTTTAATATATTTATAGTTCAAAATATCTGATTTAAATGTAATAAGCATTGTAGAGATCCATAATCATCCTAAAGGTTTTGCATTATTCTAACGAGATATTTTACCAACCTCATTATAAATATGAATAACTAAGTAATTCAAAATAATTTTTTATATTTTTTTTAAAGGTATAAATACTGAAGGAAATAAATATTTTCAACGTTCATAAAAAAAATAAATTAATTTCAACAAATAGTTCCTCTAAAGATAATATATGTATGTATAAATGCAAATATATTTCAAATAGTTTTCAAAAACTTTTTTTATATTTTTTTAATATATTTTAAAAGTTTAAAGTTAAAATTTACATACTCGAATCATATCATTTCTTTTAGTAAAAAATATTTGATACGATTATTGGTATGAATATGATTATTGAATTTGTTATTTGAAACGAATTATAAATTTTTGTAATAAATTTTTATGCAAAATATGAATCAAAGTGAAAATAGCTCAAAATTAAAAATGTTGTCATAATTGGAAAAGGGCAACCATTGGTAAATATATTTTGGGCTTTTTTTTATCCTCTCTAGTATCGGTGTTTTTCTCTTCATAAAATGTGTACACGTTATTAAATTTTCTATAAAATTTCTGATAATTTGATGTACATATGTCGAACAAAAATTTTTGACCACCAAATGACATTTTTTTAAATTATTTTTATTGAGAGTTTATAACTGCTGGGCCTGCCTTCCCAAAAATTTAATCAGTTTTTTATCTTTTCAAGTCAAGTTAAATGTTTTTTGAATTATTAAAAAATAGGACGATCCGAGTTAGTTTTTGGCACTTTTTGCCCGTATCTTCGGAGCGGCTAGACCTGGCTTCGCCAAAAACTAATCAGCACGTCTTCTTATCAATACAAATCGAATGCTTTTTGAATAATTTAAATCGGTTGGTCCATGTTTCCGAAATCGTCGACGAAAGTTTGTAACGGCACACACTTACACTTATACACTCATACACACATACTCATACACATATACATCCATTTTCTAAGGTATGCCAAAATATTCATTTTCATTTTCGATTTTTTACGATTACTCCCTACGGGAAGTTAAAAAAATTTTATTTTAAATCTGCATTAAATGCATACAATTGACTCAGTGTTATGGTAAAATTTTGTTATGGGTATATCTTCGTATAAATTAGTAGTAAAAACTGTCAAAAAGCTATGCATTTGGTTTGTAATCAACGTTTCGCACATGGCACCTAACCTGCAAAACGTGCAAACCTCAAATAACAATTTTACCATAAGTGCATCTTTCTGAGAAGATAAGATTTTGATAAAGAAGAAGAATAAAGAAATAGCTTGTAAAGAGCAAAAAATTTAATAGAAAAGTTTTTTATAAAAGAAAGAGTGTATAAAAAAAAGTTAGAAACGTACAAACCTCAAATAACAATTTTACCATAAATGTAATCTTTCTGAGAGAAAAAGAATAAAGAAATCGCTTGCAAAGGGCAAAAAAATGATAGAGAAGATTTTTATAAAAAAGATAGTACATGTAAATGATAGTATATAGAAAGAAAGTACAATAGATACAAAAATTTGTAGAAATTTGTGATGTTACTAAACGCTCTAAGTAAGCGAAAAAAAAGATATTGCTCCTGAGATAGAAGTAAATGAGCTTATTAGTAAAAATATTCTTACAACAGCTTATAGAACACCTCTGATCGCTCAACAAAGACAGACAAAAAAAATGATGCAAAAGGTATCTTATCCAACAATCAAGTAAACATCAACAGTATAAAAGATACAGGAAACCGATGTGTATAATTAAGTTTCACATTTATTTATAAAAGTTTCTGCAAATGCACACATCGTGATGTTCAGTTCAAGGAATCGTCAATAGTTCACAATCTTTTCGTTGGCCTGTAATCAATGTTATCACGTCATATCATCGTCGAATAAGCAAGAACCAAGAAACAAGCGTATAATTAATAACTAAGTACTAATGAGGTTGCCCGTTTGGCGTAATTCAGAAATTTGACGGGTGATAAATTGCAACTGACTACGAGATCTATCAGTGATTTATTATACACAATTAATAACCACACCCGCATAACGACTCATACGATTTATGGCATGAGCAATATTGATAAAAATAAAGATCAGCATTTCACTTGAAATATCAGCGATGCAAATGAATAATTATACCCCGCACGAAAATATTCTTAATAATGACCGCAGAGGAATGAATTATGTTTCTATATCTTACGAATCTGTAATTGAAATGATCATTTGTGGTAGGGTATTGTTTGTGAGAATAATGCTTGGTGTATGTACTGAAGATTTATTTCTAGGAATAATAGTTCTATCATTAATATCATAACTAGTGGTGCATGATACGCTGCCTTAAGGCAAACTGCTGGAAATTCCCGTACCGTAATAAAATATTCGATGAATATTAAATGTTTTGAAATAGATTATTATAATTATTGTAACTCCATTATTCGTATTTTATAGACATAATGTAAGCGCTTATAACTGAATAGCAAAGTTAAAATTATTTATTTGAAGTACATAAGGAAGCTTTAGAATTATATCTAAAATTAATCTTAAAATCCGAATTATTATCGGCATTCAAAAAAAAGTAACAACTGAAATGTAAAGTTTTAAACTTATATATTTGAAGTACATAACGGAGCTTTAGAATTGTATCTAGAATTAATCTTAAAATCCGAATTATTTTCGGTATTCAAAAAAATTTTTTTTGAAATTAATTAAAATAGAATATGAAGTGAAAAAAAATTTTTTTGCCTTCCCCAAAAACTAATCGTTGCTTCACACTATCAGCACAAGCAAAATATTTTTTTATTCATTTAAATCGGATGCTTCCTTTACTAAAAAACTGAAATGTAATGTTTTAAACTTATTTATTTGAGGTACATAAGAGAAGTTTAGAATTATATCTAAAATTAATCTTGAAATCCGAATTATTTTCGGCATTCAAAAAAAAAGTAACAACTGAAATGTAAAGTTTTAAACTTATATATTTGAAGTACATAAGGGAGCTTTAAAATTGTATCTAGAATTAATCTTAAAATCCGAATTATTATCGGTATTTAAAAAAAAAATTTAATGAAATAAAATAGAATTTGAAGTGAAAAAAATATTTTTTTTGCCTTCCCCAAAAACTAATCATTGCTTCACACTACCAACACAAGCAAAATATTTTTTTATTCATTTAAATCGGATGCTTTCTTCTATCAAAAACTGCCATTTTTGCACATTTAGCTTCTTATCTCCGAAACGGTAAGACCTGTCTCTGCCAAAAACTAATCACCACTTTTCCCCATCATTACGAATTGAATGTTTTTTGAATTACTCAAATCGGATGCTCCGTTCATTCAAAACCTTAATTTATATTTTCTGCATTCTTTGCTCCGTATCTCCGAAACGGATGGACCTTCCTTTGCCAAAAACTAATCAGCACATCTCCCTAACAATAGAAAAGTCGAATATTTTCTTAACCATTCAAATCGGTTGATACGTGCGCCCGGAAACGTGGATGTAAAATTGTATCCATACATACATGCACACATATTCATTATTTGTAATGTATGCTAAAACGTAAAGACATGCAAAAATTTTCAATATCGATTTTTGGACGTTTACAATAACATACGCTATGGGAAGTTAAGAAAAAATCTAAACATGTATTTTATTTATTGCGACGCTTGATAGTACGTGCAATGTTCTGACTTTTGCAATCTGTTTAATTGATTTAATTAGTCCATCAAAACTGCTCAACATTATTCAAAGTTCACCGAGATCAGCTAACTTATGAATGCATAAAATAGGTGCACCTATTGTGTATGAAATATTTCTAAGATTTCACCTGAAAATAAAATTCTTGACAAATTAACGATACTTTTCGTCAGAACTATCAATAACGGGCAACTCCCGGTATAAGCCTGCTCGGCTATCATTAAGTTAATTCGTATTAATAATGGGTTTGTAAATAATAAATGAGTTTCATTGAAGCTTAGCATTTTTTCTTCATTAATCGTAGGTTTAATTATTCGTGAATCTGGCACAGCTAATGCACCTCACTAATCATTAAACGTATTGACAGGAATTACAGGTTATTCACTATGTAAATAATATGATATTTTAATGAAATAAGTGGATATTTCTCTAAGACGTCTTGCATAAGTTTACAAACTGCGATAGTATTTCCTACGCTGCAATCAGTCTTTGTAAATAAAAATTGTACTTGGTTATGTGATTGATGCAAACCATTAAAGATTGATATTAAGCAAATTATTTAACATTTTATGCAAATTTAAAATATGATATTTTGTTATATATTAATTAATTGTTGCTTTCAAGAAAAATATAGTAGAATAAAACTCGTCTGCATTTTCAT